GGTGAGTTGTTAGTAAAACATAACTTCTCAGCTAATGATTAGTAAAATCACGCGAGTTAGGTATTACTATAATTATAAAGTATAGATGGAAGAATTTTTATTATTATAAATAGCTAGTTAAGTGGCTTATTAAGTCGCTTATACAAGACATTCAACTTCATACTATTACCATGCTCTTAACATAGGTAATATCTTTATACCCGACAGCGGCGAAGCCCAAATGAGGGATATATGTTTTACCAGTATGTATGTAAAAATCTTAAATAGTATAACCTATAGGTTCTGTCACTTATTGGACTCAATCTAACCTTTAAAACGGGACTATTGTCTTCTCGCCAAAGTAACGGACGGACGAGTTACTAACTAGGTCTCTTCTGATATTTTACATTACCGGCCCTAATAGCACTCTATTGCCCGATTTCATCAACAACCCATAAGCTACCACCTACGTATGGGATCCCTATCTTAAAATTCCCCTAAACTAGGCCCTAAATTAAATTTCGTTTTACGATCATCTTTAAGCCCATATTTCGAGCACCTAAATTAAGGGGGCCCTTTAACATTTAGGTGACCCCTAACTGTCGGTGAAACAGAAACTGTCCCCTAACAGCCCCCTAACCATGCTTAGGGGATCCCTTAAACTTAGATGACGTTGTTGAAATCGGGCATGTGTGTTCTAATGTATAATAATAATAATAATAAAAATGTTGTCCTGTTTGATTTCGTTCACGTGCGACACAACCCCAATAAAGGTTCTCTAATCGTACATGGTAGCTACTCTAGACCAATGACACCATCGTGTGTCATTGGCTAATGACTTTCGTCCCTTGATGATGTTTCTGGAGTTATTAGAAAGTTACTTTTGGTATAACATATATCTAATATATAAAATTTCCATGTCACAATGTTACTTACCGTACTCCTCCGAAACGGCTTTACCGATTTTTACCTAATTTTATATGCGTATTCAGTAGGTCTGAGAATCGGCTACTACCTATTTTCCATACCCCTACGTGATAAGGGTGGCCCACATTAGGGACGAACCCGAGCGGAGCGAGGGTGAGTCGCTAGTATAATATAGGTATAACGTATTTGGATAGTGTTTCGCTTTCCAATGGTGAAAATTTTGTAATCTTCCAGACAAACAAACTAATATTTCGTCTTTATAATCTTAGTCTTTTTAATACTAATAAAAATAAATAATTAATAATACATACATATTTATAATACAATCCCTTTGCGCATTACCGATGATTAGATAATGCGAGCTAAATGTTTCCAACGCAATAATCAGACTTAAATTTATAAATATTTCCGATGGCAGGATGAAAATCGCGACCTTCAGTAGACCAGTCTGGCGTTATGCATTTAATAAACTAGTTGACGCCCGGGTTCTGTCCGCACTCCGCGTATAGTTTATTTTGTGTCCACAGAGTACACACGTTGGAGGTAAAATGAAACTATTGTAAGCTCGAAAAATAATGATTTATATTTTTTATTAATTAGCCTATGTTACAATTAAAGTAACATAATATAGACATTAATATTATAGAGTAGTATTTAAACATGCATCACCATGTGTATTATTGTTTGTCGCTACAGCGGTGATTGTACTAGAAAAGTACCTCCTTTTTATTTTCGCTGGGAATATAATTAAATAATACCCATCATGCCCATGGGGTCCCTGCCGCCCGTCAATCGACAAAGGACTGTAATGCCCGATTTCACCAACAACCCATAAGCTACCACCCACGTATGGGATCCCTAGCTTAAAACTCCCCTAAACTAGCCCCTAAATTAAATTTCTTTTTACCATCGTTTTTAAGCCCATAGTTCGAGCACCTAAATTTAGGGTGCCTTTTAACATTTAGGTAACCCCTAACTGTTGGTGAAACAGAAACTGTCCCCTAACAGCCCCCTAATCATGCTTAGGGGATCCCTTAAACTTAGTTGGCGGTGGTGAAATCGGGCATTAGACTCTAAAACCTATCGCGGGACCCTATTGCCGCGGTATAAACTGCAACAACCCTAGGAAAATACCCCTTTTTGCTTTGGAAACCCTTAATCTCTGCCAGCCGATAGTGGGTCTGGTATAGTCTCAACTGCTGTCTACAACACCACTGCCGTACCTGACGTCGTGACAGTATGACGTACGATCATTTACGCATCCACTACAATGAACCAGCCTGCACCCATCTCTGAACAAAACGAGCCTCTTCGAATAAATCATTCTAATCACCTATTAAACTTAAAATAGGCAATAATGAAGTAAATAATTTCACTTGATTTAGAATATGTACGTACGTCCATATTGTTAAACCAAAAAAATAGGTTACGCCATTTTGTTTCTGATGGCTCAAGTACGATGTAAGTTCGTCAAGGCCACAGAGTACATCAAGACTCGAAGTGTCAACGGCCAGTCTCGTTCCCGCCGAATGTATGATACCTAATTGTTGTTTAAAAGGAGAAGAAACATCACTGAATTAAATAATTAAAAGGTAATAATTTTGTACCTTTAAAATATTTCAATATATTTCGGATTTTGATCAAAAAGGTTTCTTGGAATATTCCTTTTTAAATAGTTTTGTACAACTTTTTTATTTTTTATTATAATAAGGTTGTAATTTCAAGTTGGGACTTTTTCTTCACAGCACTATAATATTAAGATATCTGAAATACTTCATAATTTCTAAATTCAGACATGAATTCTTCAAAAATAAAATAGATAAAACATGAAAAATTGCAATTACAAAAAATACATGTAATCTGTATAGTGTATACTGTATAGGATTAAAGGATATATGCTCCATTCTTGTTCTGTAAACTTTTTAGCCAAATATAATAACGGTATATGTTAGGTGACAGGTAACCTTTTACCCAGTGGTAACGCGTTTGCTTCGCAAGCAAGCAACTCAAATCCTGGGTTCGAATCCCGTACGTTTGATATTCTTATGTGCGAATTATTTTTAACATGATTATCACCTGTCTTACAGTGAAGAAAAGCATTTTAAGGAAACTTGCATGTCTTAGAGAACCTAGCAAGGTTTCGACTATGGTCTGATCCCCCTCGAATTCCCTTATATTGAAGGGAGGCACGTGTCCAGCAGTGGGACGTTAAAAACGGCTGAATACGTATACATTCATATGTTATGTGACAGAATACTTCAAGCAAGGAAAGATAACAAATTCGATTTCCGCTCATAAGAACATGTTGTATACAAAAAAACTGTAAAGAAATAAATTTACGTAGGAAGCTAAAAGCTTGCGTGTAAAGCCTATTTAGTGTCCTATCGCGTCAAGCCGCCATGTATAAATTCTAACAATTTATAACGTCCGAGGATTCAATTAAACGAGCTTAAATTAATGAAAATTCATTACTTAGGTACTGATATCCCATCAGATAAAGGATAATCTTTGTCACCACAGCCCAGCATGTTTAAGAATTATATACTAGTAAGTTAACCTCGTTTCGCTCAGCTGCATTCTTAGGTGCCTAACAGAATATGTGTTTATCCAGATCACAGACTATATCTAAATTCGTCCAGCCGTTTAAGCGAGAAGGAGTAACAAACATACACACACCAATGTAGATACTTATACTGACTTTTAGTCTGAAAATGAATAAAAATTTGGCTTATTGATTCATACGTAGATGTCTCTCATACAAAGTTATTGGGTTGACCTATGACCAGTTCAGAGTCATTCTTCGAGCTATTTTGCTTGCTACTTGCTGACGAGTAGCCAAAACTATTTTCTATTTTTATTTAAAAAATGAACACTATAAGTGATATAAATAACAATTAAATCATAAATGTAAATACCGACTGCGTAAAAAGCGAACTAAAAAGATGGAAACATTTTAACGGAGGAACACAGTATTATTCTGTCGGAGACAGATAAAAAATAAATATGTATTTTTTTTATATTAATATAGTTTTCTAAAATTAACAGGGGCAAATGAGGCAATCAAAATGCCATATTGTTGAATAAGCTGTTCAACATATATTAAAATTGTACGAAATATTATCTCTAGTGATCTGATAAGACTACATAATATGAACAAGCTGTTTATATTTTATAGGATAAGGCGTAAAAGCTCGCACTGCAGATTCAGTGACATACAAACGTTGTTTTTTTATATAAATGTTAGATTAGATGTTATTTAAAACCTGTCACATCAATATAAAATGAATAGCATCTATTAACACAGAAGTTTAATAAATAAGAAAGAAGCTCAGTTAAGATCGGTCGTATACTTTGTGCATCCTATCTCTTGCAAATACTGCTAGGCCAAAATTTGTTAAGTTTGTCAAGTTTGAAATTTAAACATTTTGAGGGTGGCATAATATACAAAATATAGCAAGTGGAGTTTTTTTTAAAGATACAGCATAAAATTTTCTTATTTTCTTTTTAATTTTATAAATAATAATGTGCCAAAACAATCCGTCTCCATTGACAAAGAGCCATTAAGATGATTTTACACACTGATTATATTATTTTTTGTAAGCCTAGTGAGTCACTTTTTAGTCTTTACCCGATTCGACTTTAATGAATTTTTGGAATAACAGATTATAAATTTTTAATTATCTAACCGACCAAAACCAAAAAAACTGTTTAAAAAATAAGTAAAAAAGAATCCAAATTCGTAAAATCGAACAAACGCCTTTTTTAGATTTTTTTTTCTATTTTTCTTTAATTTAATTTTTGTGTTAATGTTAATGTTTTTTTTTTGAGAAGTGAATTTACTGAGCCTGATAAAAAAATTGACTAAAAATCAAAGGGGCACATTATTATTCTCACTTATCATTTGCATCTATCGACAAATTTTAGTGCTATCGATAAAAAGGATTGATTAATTATAATTGGATTTCGTTAATTATTTATTAACATAATAACGAATAACAAAGAATTGAATTGAATTAAACATATTTTATTAATTTATAAATATTCGAAATATAAGAAAGTACATACGTCTGTTTGATGTTCTCTCATAAATTCTACCCACTGTAATTTACTGATAAGGCATTACAAGGAAACCGGACTGCCTTGAGTGCGACCCAAGTTACCCCGTAGCAAAAAGATAACTTCGCTAGATCCATGACTGCACGGTAAGAGTTGTTATTTAAAAAAAAATAAGTGTTTAGAAATTGTGTTGTATTTAATATTAACGCCTAAAACAAACCACTGGTTAAATGTTTTACTAAGCTAGCATGTATGGGTGCGTGTAGATCCAGGGGTTTTTGGTTCGAATCCCAGGTCGGGTCGAGTGTAGCTATTGTGTTATTTTGGCAAGAAATTCTCAGTTAGGAAGTTGGTTACATCCCAGAACAAAAAAATGACGGTCCCGCGCCTCATCTCTCATTGCGAGTGTCAAATTGTCGGTCCACCGAAATATATATAAATAGTTAAAAAAAACTAGAGTGCACCTGTGTTAACTATAATAATTATACTACTAACTAACTAAGTATGTCTGGAAAATTGAAAAACAACACATAGCGAAGGCGGGCGAGGTTTAATATATTTTGGAAACTGCCTTAAAAATCTAAATATCCTTTCTTCTTCAGAATTTACCCTATAATAATAATAGTATTAACGTTCAAAAATCAAAAGAAACAAGTAGGTAGTAAATTAAATGCATAACTTACTCCTATAACAATAAGTGGGAGACCAATATCCTGCCGTGGCCTTGCCATGCTCGGTCAAAGCTCCAAGGAGCCATCCACATGCGGTTAAGAATTACAAAAATGTAAATTATAAAATATCCTGTTTATATACAACTCAAACTGTATAAATACTAGCGCTACTATTTTACTCAGACCCTTTTTAATTTACCAGGATTATTATCTCTTACGGGGTAAAGTCATGCATTTGTAAGCCACAGTCCCTAGAACTGGCATGAGACATGACGTGATTAATCACTAATCTATACTAATACATATTATAAATTTGAAAGATTGTGAGTATGAATATTTGTTACTCTTTCACGCCGGAACGGCTAAACGGATCTCAATGAAATTTGGTACAGAGATAGATTATAGTTTGGAATAACACATAGGCTATTTTATATCCTGGAAAAGTGTACGGTTCCCGTGGTTTATTTTTGTTTTCCTAGCCTGAGCCGCTAGTATTAAATAAATTAAGCTATAATCTTTAATCGCGTCATACATTTTTTGATGCTAGAGTCAAAGCGTGGGTAGTGGAACAGTTCAATGGCTATTAGTAAAAACTTCAAGGTCGGGTTTTTGATGAGACCATACATCACAATTGGTCAAAAGCGCATTTTTGTCATTTTTAAACGTTGATTATGTTACTGGTTCCTCTTGTTTCAAGTCAATCAATAAATGTATGCTATAATACAATCATATATTTTTTTTTATTGGGTGTGGTGCCGAGGTCGGCCCTAGCTTCGTCGACCAGTTATGGTGCTTGTAGCTAATCATAGTATTACCTAGTACCTATAGTAAGTACCTAGAGTTCGCTCAGTCGTCGGAATTCGACCATAATCTTCATTGAATATTTAGAAAACAAAACATGTATGAATAGAATTGAATTTTAATATATATATATATATATATATATATATATATATATATGACTATATATATATATATATATATATATATATATATATACATTCTTCTTCTTAAAGTGCCATCTTCTTTCGAAGGTCGGCGATCATTAAAGCAACTTGTATCTTTGATGCCGCAGCTCTGAATAAGGAACGGGTGCTTTTTCCAAACCAATGGCGTAGGTTTTTTAGCCAAGATGTTCTTCTTCGACCCACATTTCGTTTTCCTTGGATCTTTCCTTATAAGATGAGATGTAGTAGGTCGTATTTTCGGTTTCTCATTATGTGGCCGAGATATTCAAGCTTTCTTTTCTTTACTAAGTATAAAACTTCAGGTTTTTTCTTAACGCGACTTAGCACGGTTACGTTTTTTATTTTGTCTCTCCAGGATATCCTTAACATTCTCCTGTATACCCACATTTCGAAGGCTTCAATCTTCTTACAGCTCGATTCTGTGAGGGTCCATGCTTCAACGCCATACAAGAGAATGGAGAAAACATAACAGCGTGCTAATCGTACTCGGAGCTGGATGTTCAGCTTTTTATTGCACAGAAGTGACTTAAGCTTAAAGAAAGCATTACGGGCTTGTTCAATGCGGCACCTTATTTCAAGACTGTGATCACCCGTATCATCAACCCAGCATCCCAAATATTTGTATTTGCTAACTTTTTGTAGAGGTTGTCCATTACATAGTAGTGTAGAGTTAGCAGGTGGTATTTTACAAACTGTCATGTATTTGGTTTTCTTGGTGTTGACACTAAGGCCATACGTTGAACTAACAGATTGGATTTTATCTATAAGGATCTGAAGTTCTTCCATTGTAGATGCAAGCAGTACAGTGTCATCGGCATAACGGATATTGTTAATAATCTGTCCATTCACTGTAATACCTATATCCATCTGATCCAATGCTTCACTGAAAATCATCTCTGAGTATATGTTAAAAAGAATTGGCGAGAGAATACATCCCTGCCGTACTCCACGTAAGATTTCCGAATCATCTGTTAGTCTGCCCTCTATACGTACATTCGCCGATTGGTTCCAATATAGGTGTTTAATAAACCTTACGTCCTTAGAGTCGAGTCCGATGGATTGTAATATATCGACCATTTTTGCATGCTGTACCCTATCAAATGCTTTTTCATAATCGATAAAGCATACAAACACATCTTGATTTATGTCCCAGCATCTCTGTATTAGGACTTGATACCCGAAAAGTGCATCTCTCGTTCCTAGGCCATTCATGAACCCAAACTGTGTTCTTGAAATGAGGTCTTCACATTTACTATAAATTCTTTTATGGATTACTTTAAGAAACAATTTTAGGGTGTGGCTCATTAAGGAGATGGTTCTGTACTCGCTGCATTTCTTTGCAGAAGCAACTTTGGGCAAGGTGACAAAGGTGGATTTAAGCCAATCCGACGGTATGACGCCCGAATCATATATTGTGTTGAATAACTTTACTATTATTCCTAAGTTAGCATACTCAAGCACTTTCAACAGTTCCACGGGTAATTCATCACCGCCTACAGATTTTCCTGACTTGGACATGTTAATGGCATAAGCAATTTCACTTTTATTAATTGGTGGTCCAGTTAACGCACTTCCACATGAACTTGATTCTAGAGCAGGTCTAACGTCATGGAATAGTGTTGTTATATAATTTTGCCAAGTATTAAGTTTATCTTCAATTGTTTTAGCAGGATTTCCCTGATCATCCAGTAAAACGTTACAGTTCATGTTTCGTGTTTTAAAAGTACCCGTTATTTCCCTGACTTTCCTATGCACATTAAAATAATCATATCTGGCCTCAAACTCTTCTATCGCAATGCATTGGTCAACCATCCATTTTTCTTCCGCTTCAAGTACTTTTGTTTGGATTAACTTGTGTATGTATTTATATTGTTGATCGTCTACTCCTTTGTGGGTTCTGCGCTGTTCCATTAGGCTTAAAATCTCCTCAGTGATCCAGCGGTTTTTTATTTTACATTTTAATGGTTGGAGAATTCTTTTACCAGTATCAACAAGCTTTTCCTTTAATTTAGTCCATGTCTCTTCTACGTCAACATTAGGACCAAGTTCTTTGTTCAAGCGGTCAACAGCCATATTTATTTCTGTAGCTGTTTTAAGCCGTATTTCCGGTTCTTTAAGTCTGGTCACATCCATTTGTTGTCTTTTTGATTTAGGTTTTAGAATTTTCATACTACAGCGAAGGGATGCAACAACCGGATTGTGATCAGATCCAATATCGGCGCCTGGATAGGTTTTAACTGATTTTAAACTGTTGCGGTATCTTTTGTTTATCAGAATATAATCAATTTGATTACGGACGATCTTCTTCGGTGAATGTAATGGTGAAGTCCACGTATACAATCTTCTTGGAGGTTGCTTAAATTGGGTGTTTGAAATAATAAACCCGTGTTCTTCGCAGAATTGTAAAAGGCGGTCACCGCGATCGTTTCTTTTTCCCAGTCCAAATGGACCAACGATGTCCGAGACTTTGCCCTCTCCGATTTTTGCATTAAAGTCACCTTGGACTAGGATAATGTTGTGTGGATTGAGATGTTTAAGAGCGTTTTCTACTTGTTCGTAAAAGAGTTCATTATCCTCGTCAGTAGCATCGGTGGTTGGTGCATAAACCTGGACTATCTGGATGTTTCTAGGTTTTGCTCTTAACTCCAGGACTAAAACTCTGTCCGATATGGGTAAGAAACTCTGAACCTGATGATGTAGATGTCTGCTGATAATGACGGCCACACCGTTGTAGTGATTTTTATCATTGTTACCGCTATACTATACTACTGTGTCATCCCGTAACAAGACTCCAGTTCCCTGGTGCCTAGACTCACTCACCCCAAGGATGTTTATCTTAAGTCTTAGCATCTCCCGTTCTATATTTACCACTTTATAGGTGCGGTACATACTCTTGACGTTCCACGTAGCAATCGTCATGGCTGACCCGGAGATTCTTCGCACCCTCTGACCATCAAAGGTCTGCCGGGGACTGAGGGCCATTTTTATATTGTTATCAGCCATAATGATCTTCCTGGGGAAATATATGTGGTGGTTTCCCGTTGCCTTCCACACGCTGTACTATTGCCGTACCGATGCACACCATCTCCGTCAATAGCTTCCTTTTCCAGAACAGTTCCAGCCAACTAGACTTCCTCTTCTGAAAATACTGTTATGCAGCTGCCCATAACATAGGAGTGCTTATTTACTGGCGGCACAACACGCCAGGTCACAAGGACATCATTGGATATTGCAGCATTTTATAGGCTATTCTTTCCTAAGGAATAACCACTGCATCCTAGTACCTTGTCGCTGAATGGTCGGGGACTGCAATGCAGCTAGCGAGGATATCTCCAAGCCGTTCCATTATCCGCCACCTATGGACCCCGGTAGTAGCCTACAGCTCAGCCCTACCTATATATATATATATATATATATATATATATATATATATATATATATATATATATATATATATATATATATATATATATATATATAATAGTCAATAGCTACTAAAAAAAAGAAAATCAGTTGACAAGCATAGGACAATTAGGTACTGAAGGTCTTTGCATATATGCATATAGAAGATTTTAAGTTGACAATAACACAGTTCGTGTGAAACATACATATATTCTTTTTTAACACGCTTTTACTAGTTCCACCCTGTAATGTTTGTAACAGAATCTGTAAACGCTATTTACACCTACTTCAAAACTTCAGATTGAGCTGAAACTTTGCACATTTAACAAAGACCGATGACAATACAATAAGTATTAAAAAAAACATTAATAAACCAAAAAAAAACTAAAAAATGGAAAATAAATTAGTTATATTTTAAAAAATTAAAAAAAACACGCTTTTATGATGAACCGAACTAAAAAGCAAAAAATATTTTTCAGTATAAGAATAAAATGAATTAGGAGAAAATTATTGTTATTGTGAAAAAGCGTTGGATACTTTGTTAAATATTTTTATACTAACTCTACTTTTAGAAATCGTACCAATGGAATATTTTAATAAATGTTATCAAGCACCCCGCGCTTTTTTTCACAATAACATTAATTTTCTCGTATGATCTTCTCTTCTTTCTTCACATTTCTTCATATAATCTTTTCTTCTCTGTAGAAAAACTAAGTCGTTTGTTGCCCTTCGCTAGGCAGCTGGCGGACCACACAAGCAAACTGCCTTACGATGAGCCGCAGTCGACTTCAGTTGTATAATCGTCATGTTAATTTGTAAATTCCATATTAAATTACACTATATATTTTTACATTATCAACGTGATTTATAAACCAATTATTTTAGCATTCATAATATGTTTAACTCCAAATAAAAAAATATTTTCGCGGTTCCATTTTGATTTTTGTTTTCCAAAGTTTCGAATGCTTTACGACATTTAAAAATAAATATAAAACCGGGAAAAGATCCGAAGTTTATTTAATCTATACATATAATAAAATTCTGAGTCGAATCTACGCAAAATCTTATTGAAATAGCTAGTCATTATTATCGATACAGAGGCCGAATTTATAGTTTTAAGAATTTTGTGCCTGTCTGTTTGTCTGTGTGGGAACGCATTACGAGATAACCACTGGACATATTTTGATTAAATTTGGTATAATGATAGCTGATTATCCGGGTCAAAATATAGGATGCTTTTTACTGCGGGAACATAACTCATCTCTGAGAAATCTATATTAAACCTTAGTAGGGACTAACCCGAGCGAGCTTAGTCGCTAGTATGTCTAATATTCGCGCAAATCTAAGAAACTATTATTTTTTTGCTATTAGACGTAGGGTTGGCCAAAGGTCCCCCCCAACGTGCGTTTACCTTGTCGTGGTGGGGGGGCTCAGTAGTAGTAGCGAAGCTAAGAAACGCACCGGGAGGTTGCCCACTTCGGTAAGCGGTGGGAGGTGGCCCTCTTCGGGGGGCGGTGTACCTTGCGGGTTGCTCCTGGTACTTCTCTGATAGCAGAGTGGACCTTGGAGCAACCCCATGGTTGTGGTGGTCTGCTTCGGCAGACCTGCCGTCGGGACGTCGTAGTTGAATGCGTAAGCGATCCTGCGACGCCCCATTAAGACGGGGGAAGGTTTTGTTGGGTTTTAGTGGGTAGTACTGGCTGTATTACGCCGATGAGTCCCACACGTCGTGCGTAAATGCATTTCCCAACGTTAAAAAAAAAAAGAAAGGGTTGGCCAAAGGTAAGGCAACTCTTCTAGGGCCCGGATTCATTCAAAAGCCTATTAGTTAATAGTTCACAATGACGTAAGTGTGTCCGTTCTTCTCTCGATCTGTATAATTATTCCCTACCCGTAAAGGGTTTAGAAGCTTAGATACCTAAGCTTCTAAAATCTGTAACAGGTAGCCGTTTGAATTTTCGCGAAGTCCTAAAGTAAAACTACTTATTTTTTTTTATAACTTCGTGATTTTTATATAGTTCTGGCTTTCGACCAAAATAACGTGGAACTGTGCGACAAATAGCGGTTGCGTCGCGCGATAAAGTAATTAGGTACTTTTAATGAATATTATAACAATTCATCATCATAATCTATACATATAATAAAATTGTAACTAAGTAGAATCTGTACATTAAATATTTTTTGGAAAACCTAATAAAATAGACATTATTATCGATACAGAGTCCGAATCTATAGTTTTTAGAATTTTTGTGTCTGTCTGTATGTCTGTCTGTCTGTTACCGCATCACGAGAAAACCACTGGATAGATTTTGATGAAATTTGGTATGATGATAGCTGGTCATGCGGGTCAACATATAGGATACTTTTTACTGCGGGAAAATACCTCATTTCTGAGAAAAAAATACAAAAACAGCAATGTAAGAGTATACTAATATGTAAAACCTAAGAATTTGGTTTTTGGTCATCTGAACGCGGGCGGAGCCGCGGGCAATGCTAGTATAATATAAAGTCATGTAAAAAAAAACAATAAGTATATATGTTTTTCTGATTTAAAATGTTTCGAAATAATTAAAAAAACGCAGTTATCTTATACAATAACTGTAAAATAAATATTATTAATTAAATTAAAAGCTAGCTTATTATTATTTCATAATAGTTTCACAAAAGTATTTACAAATTAATTGATTCTGACACTTACCTCTATCCAAAAGATTTCTACTTACTTGGTACTTTAATTATTTCAATATAAACATGACGAGAAACAATAAATCACAAAGCCCAATCCACAAATGCCCTGGTACAATAACGCGGGGTATTTAAACTAACTTTATCTATGAGGAAAGCCGCGGAGTTATTAAAAGCAGCTAATTGGCAGCTGTGCACGCATCGGTTTAGGGAAATAATTTGTAGGTACTGCGGTTTAGTGATGTGACACAATGTTATAAAGGTTTTCAAAACCACTAGTGACTGCCCTTGCTTCGATCGAACTCTAAGCTAGCATCACTACTTCATATTTTGGGAATACTTAGCATTTACCCTCTCTGGCTCATTATAATGTAAAAATTAAAAAAAAATCTAAGTTTGCTCATTAGATTTTTATTAGGATGCGAAGTTAGAAAGTTGAAGAAGACTAAAAAATAGCTTATAATATGTAACAGCTTAAGACTTGCTAAGTATGTAGTCTAAGCTTCAAATAAAATAAAAAATAAAATAAAAAAAATATCAATATTCTCAACATCTCTATCTAGATCTTAACTTGGATTTCGTATAGAGTTTCAACAGACTTTAAACTAAGGGAAGATACTCAATTAGAGTATTTTAAATATATTTTTTGATTTGTATGTTACACGATATCCATGTCTATTTGTGAACCGATTTTATTGTTTCTTTTTTAATGAATGAAAAGAATGTACTTAATTTGAATATTCATATAACTTGCCTATTCATTGATTTTTATGCACAATGCCCAAAGGAATGCCGTAAATCTATATATTATTGAAGTAAATATCCTAGATATGGTACAACAAGACTGCTTAGACTGCCATAACTATTAAATATTAATTTTATTTTATAATATTAAAAGTACATCACTAAATACTTAATAAAATATTTGCTTATCGTTTTGAACAGGAAACGTCGCCGGAAGGGTACACCACTGACAGATATGGCTAAATGCAAAACATTTTAAATTAGATGATGACTATTGTTGTATCTCGACATGTTTGTTTTATTAAGATTTTTAATGACAATTCCACCATTTGGCCTAAAGTTAGAAGAAACTGATTAGACCCCCGAAGGCCGCTAAAAAATTAGGCTAGCTAAAATTAATATGTATATATGTATATAACAGTGAGTTATTTTTGTAATCATAACTTATGATATTAGAATAGATTAGATTTATATATATATATATATATATATATATATATATATATATATATATATATATATATATATATATATGTGTGTGTGTGTGTATATAACTCACTGAAAATTATTAAGTCTACAGCTCATAAATGCTGTACGTTATTTTTTCAACATTGAAATTTGAAATAGCTTGAGTTGTACGTGATCGTGTGATTTTCAAGGTTCGTCTATATATATTTTAGTACATAAAAGTTCTTTTGCTACGTTTTTAAATGGAATGGAATAATAAAAAGCTTTTTAATCATTTTGAAATAAATAATATTATTTTTTTTGGATTTCTGTAGTGTTTTTTTGCCCTTAAGAGTCAGGAACCTAACTATTAATCGAATCGTAACTAAACATAAAATTTATATTAACTTATGCAATCTATTTGTTTTTACAGATCAATATCTTGATGACACGTTTGGCTCAGTTTGTAGTGACCCTATTTGAAGTGCCAGCGGTCGTGGGTTCGAGTCTCGCTAGGGCATTCATTTGTGTGATGAGCACGAATGTTTGCACTCCAGTCTTGGGTGTTTATATTTATTATATGTATATATTTAAAGTTATATATGTATAGTGTATCAACTATCTCCATAACACAAGCCTCGTAGCTCACCATGGAACTACATGGTGCTGTGTGTTAATGTCCCAACATATTTATTTACATATTTATAATACCTAGACTTATACTC